GGGCCGGCGTCAGCCAATGGGCGCGCGGCGCGGGGCGGGGCGACGTGAGGCGATGCCGATGGTCCGAGCGCGGCTCTGCCATTCGGGGCCGAGCGGTGCGAGGGCGGGCGGGTCCGGGACGTGGTGGTTGTCCCTTCTGCCTGGGAGGGTTTGGGGCCAGCCCAACGGCTCCACCTCCCGGCGGAGTGGATGCAATGGTTCAGCTCGAAGCTCCCAGCCAGAACCTGCGGCGAGTAGCGCGGGAAGGGAACCCAGAACCCAGCGGTGTGGTGCGGTAGGCAATGTAGGGGCGCTGCCTGGATGGACCGTAGCATTGCTAATGCTGACACTAATAAGGTCGGTATCGTGCCCATCCACTGCCTTCAGATTGGTGCAGGCTAACCAATGCAACTAGTCCATCACCAGCCCCTTTGCTTAGCTCCCCAGCCTACCACAAAGGAGCTGTTGATGATGGATCCTGGAGTACTGAAGAGAAGACTTAGTAAAGAAAGTTTGGTGGGCAAGACCCGGTACAAAGGACAGCAGTCTCATGCCTGCCTTCAACAGTTAAGTGCCAGTGAGTCCTGACTTCCTAGGTTGCCTTCCATCCTGTACTGGGGTTACTCCAAGCCTATTGAGGGGAAGCCAACAAATTTCTCTAGTCTGCCACTTCACAGCAAGACTTTCATGGCAGTGTGTATTGTCGATTAATGGTGACTGGAAGAACTCCCAACACAACGCAGCCATTGGGCATAGGTGCAGTAACAATGAGAGGAGATCCATGTGAGTTCTCACCTATTGCAAAAATTCAGAGTACCACCCAGAGTTCTTTTCCCAGTCCTTACACGAACCTGTGATGAAGGCCAGGAAAGGTGCAGAGAACACCATGGCCAGAAGAGTATTTCAATGCCAGAGGGCAAAAAGTGAAAAGGGTAGAAAGCCACACCCCAGGAAACAAATTCTTGGATGGAAGCTAAGACAGGAAGATATTAAGATTGGTCAACAGGAACAATGGGATCCCTCATTACCATTAGGTGGCAGCTTCTCCAAGAATTTATCCACTCACGTTTGAAGTAATAAGGATTGGAAACAAATTGGAGAATTAGTGAATTTTACAAAACAGTGACCTATATTTTAACAGTAACTGTGTCATTGGGATAAATTTCAGCTGAACAAAGAAACTCAGAGCTTAAAAAAAAAAAAAGATAATTGAGCAAGACTGTCTGGTTTAACAAGATGTTCGACTTACTAAGAATGATCTGGGAAGCTTTGCCTCTTCATAGGAGTACTCTCTGAAGCTGGCATGAAGAAGTGACCAAGGAAAGAAATTTTAAAAACCTTGGAGTTGCCTCTTGTTCTTTTACCTTTTATATGGTTCAGTCTCTTTCTCTAGGATTCTTAATGGTGTTGCTGTTTGTCAGCTTTAGGGGTACTGCAATAATGGGTTTACCCTCTAAACTTCAGGACGGTGGGATGTAACCATTCACCTCACACATGCAAGACCCTGGGGTCCATTCTCAAGTGAGGTATTCAAATAGTCCAGCTTCCGGGGAGTCCGGCCAGTGACGTGGTTTAGCAGGTACAGGTGTTTACCATCCAGCCTGAGGATCTAAGTATTATCCTTAGAACCCACATGGTTGAAGAGGAAAACTGAACAAAGTTCACAAGTACACTGGGGCATGTACACACACACACACACACACACACACACACACACACACACACACAAAATGTCAAAAAAAAATTTAATGAACTACTCAAGGAAAGGCCTAATGAAAGAGCTCTAAGAAAGAGTGCACTTAGGCAGGAGAATTGGGCCTTAGGAGACTGAAGAAAAACACAAAATAGCAAAAGGCTACAGGGAAGAAAATCAATAAGGATAGCCCAAGACCACTTCCAAAGAATCTGTTACCAAATGCTAGGACACAGACAAGAACTGGCAAAGGGCTATTTCTCGGTGACTCCTGGAACCGGAACTAGTCCTCCTGTGTGCTGTGCTGTGTGTGAGGCATGCCAAGACCTGCCTATCCTACCCTAGGCTTTTTAGAGCTGGTCTCCACGAATCCTTGCCACACAAGCCGCATGTCTGTAAGAGGTGGAGGAAGAAAGCCAAAGGGTGGAGAAAACGTACCATACAAGACTAACAGGTAGAAGAGAGGAAGTGAGTACACATTTTAGAAGCTGAAACTAGAGGTCTTTTTCTGGGCTGAATTACATCCCAAATCCAATGCTAAAGTCCTAATCTACAGTACCTCAAGGTGTGTGTAGGTGGTGAGGGAGTTGGAGGTAGGGTCTTTAAGGACCTTACTAAGTTAGAACAAGATCATTTAGGGTAGACCCTAGTAAAATAAGACTGGTGCCATTAAACAAATGAATATTAAGATCCAGAGAAGATCCTTTGAAGACAGGGAGAAGACAATGATTGACAAGCCTAAAAGAAAATTTTCAGAAAAAAAAAACAACACTGCCAACATTTTAATCATGGACTTTTAGCCTCCAAAAATGTGAAGAATTCTATATTGTTTCTGTGATGTGGTATTTTTGTTATAACCACCCTAAAAGACATAACACAAGGTCTCCAAATTTTTTCAAGAAGTCGTGTAGTGGCTGGAGAGATGGCTCAGCAGTACTGACCACTCTTCCAGAGGACCTGGGTTCAATTCCTAGTACCCATATGGGTTTCTCACAGTCTGTAACTATAGTTCCAGGGAATCTGACACCCTCTTTTGGCTTCCTCAAGCCCTAGACACACATGTGGTACACAAGAAACATCCAGGAAAAACACTCATACAATTAAAAAAAAATTTTTTTTAAATTGTGTAACGAGGAAGTCAGATCTTCCTGTAAGTAGCGTGAGGTGACCTGTGAAAATGGTTCACTACTTTCTTGACCCAGAAAACCCTACAAAATCACACAAATCAAGAGGTTCAAATCCTCATGTTCACTTTAAGAAAGCGATACTCCCCAGGCCATCAAGGCTATGCATATTCAAAAAGCCACCAAGTGTCTAAATGGTACTTTATTTATTTTTTTTTTTGGGGGGGGGGGTTTCGAGACAGGGTTTCTCTGTGTAGCTTTGCACCTTTCCTGGAACTCGCTTTGGAGACCAGGCTGGCCTTGAACTCACAGAGATCCGCATGGCTCTGCCTCCCGAGTGCTGGGATTAAAGGCGTGCGCCACCACCACCACCACCACCACCACCACCACCACCACCACCACCACCACCCGGCAACATGGCACTTTAAAGAAGCAATGTGTTCCCTTCTAGCAGTATAATGGTGGGGTCAGGTTGTCCAAGCCAAACAATGGCTCAGGATACAGGGTGTGTAGCTCCAAAAGAGTGCTGGATTTTTGTGTCATGCTTGAAAATGCAGAGAGTATGAACTGAAGGGCTGAGATGTGGGTTCTCTAGTCACTGAACATATCCAGGTGAACAAAGCACATAAGATGTGAAGACAGAGCTCATGGTTAAATTAGCCCATATATGTGCTCCTCTGCGACATCCAGATGATTGTCACTGAAATGAACACACTGTCCCAAAGCCAGAAGAGGAGGGTGCACAGAAGAAGGATACCCCAGAAGAAACTGAAGAGACAAAAACTTATAACACAGGAATAAATTCAGCATAAATAAATGCAAGTTTAAAAAATGAGGGGGGAGCTGGGCAGTGGTAGCACACACCTTTAATCCCATCACAAGGGAAGCAGATCTCTATGAGTTCGAGGCCAGCCTGGTCTAGAAAGTAAGTTCCAAGACAGCCAAGGCTACACAGAGAAACCTCCGTCTCGGAACACACACACAAATGAAGTTGTCTAGAGGTAACAGGAATTGATCCTAAGCATCCCAGCTCCCTTCATTGATCTCTTTCCCTATTATGGGAAAAGTCTGAAAGATCCTTGTCTTTACAGTGATTACAATCTATTTGGGAAGACAAAACTAGCACTCTTAAACAGCACCTATATCTCATTCCTTAGATGACAGTCATGAAAATTTGTAAAGGGCATAGGTGAGAGATGATAAATTCTCAAAAGCAGATAAGCCCATATTTATCTAAATAGTATATTAGCATTTTCCATATAGTTCCATTTGGCAGTCATTTCTGCTTTAGATAAGAGCAGTATTTCTCAAGGCATGTTGCACTGGCCACCTGTAATAGGAACACTGGAGTGCTTGTTTAAAATGTAGATTCCTGAGGCTGCAAGATGGCTCAACCTGTGATGGTATTTGGTACTAATCATGATGACCTAAGTTTGATCCCCAGGTCCCACATGTTGGAAAATAGAATTAGAACAGCCTCCTACAAATTACCTGACCCCCACATCGGCACCAAGTCATGCTTCTACCCACATGCACCCCCCCAACACACACAAAAACTGCAGATTCTCTCATATACTTGTATATATGAATATATGCAATCAATATATACAATACATTTTTTTTTAAGAAAAGAGGAAAAGGGTCTGGCAAGATGACTCAATAAGACACTTGCCACTAAGCCTGATGACCTGAGTTCAATCCTGGAACCTACAAGATGGAAAATGAGAACAGATTCCCACTAATTGCCTCCCAATTTACACACACACACACACACACACACACACACACACACACACACTTATGTATCTATTTATGTATCTATGTATGTATGTATATGTAATTTTTAAAAGGGAAAATGTAGACTCTCTTAAAAAGGAAGCCTAGTCATTGTCCACAATGAAGTTTGACAACATAAGTTTAGTATTTAGCATTATTGTCCCCCTGTTTGCTGCCAGAGTATCTTGTTGAATAGCCAAGTCTCCAACATCTGTATTTCTAAGATAGCAATCTTCAGGTCAGACCTGAATTGAAATAGAGAAGGAAAGAGTATCTTTATAGTCCTGGAGCTGGAGCTCAGTGGTCGAGCATCTGCCTAGCATACCCGAGGACCTAGGTTCAATGCCAATACCACAAAAGGGAGGGGGAGGAAATAAAGTGCCATATAGAAATGGAGGCTGGGAGGTAAAATACCCAGATGTTAGCTGGGTGTGGTGACACAAACCGGTAATCCTCGCACTCAGAAAGCAGTAGCAGGAGGATCACCACAAGTCTGAAAGCAGGCTAGTCTGCATAAAGGGTTCTAGGTCAGCCAGGGCTACATAGTGAAACCCTCAATAAAACAAAATAAGACAAAATCAAGATGCCTTTGCCCAGTGACCCCCAATATTCATAGTCTGAACTGGCTTCTAGAACTTCCTATAATTGTTCTTAATTTTTATTATTTTTTTACATGCATTGGTGTTTTGCTATGGATGTCGGGTCCCCTGAACTGGAGTTACAGACAGTTGTGAGCTGTCATGTGGGTGCTGGGAATTGAACCCGGTCCTCTGGAAGAGCAGCCAGTGCTCATAACCACTGAGCCATCTCTCCAGCCCCTCCAGAATTGTTTTCATACCTTTCCTTATGCTGTCAGACTTATCATTCTTGCTGTTTTTCTGAATCTTTTTAGTCCTTGAAAGTCTCATCTTCTCTTAGACACTAGCTCCTCCCTAGCTTCCACTCATCTCTTTCCTGTGCATTCCAGCAGCAGTATGGTTACCA